CCAGTACAATGCAGGTGCTCCATAAATGGGATTGCCCGTAATATCGTCTTCATTTTAGGTGCCTCTCTAGGTAAATACCAAGCAGGATTTCTTATATAAAAGTTAATGTATTTATACATATTCTAGTCACTACTGAAGTGAGACTCTAAACTACAATATACTTGTGGAGCAGATGATCTCAGTTTTGCTATTGTTATATTGTTCTTATGTCTGCCCATAAGAATAAATATTTGTTGAGCAACTACTATATATGTGTCAGGTATTGTTCTAAGTACTAGTGATATATAGTGACAAAAAGGAAAGTTCTTGCTGTCATGATTAATGTATTCTGGTGGAGAAGACAAACAGTAATCAAACTAGCCAACGAACTACTTCTTACTCTGCGTGGTGAGAGAGAGAGAGTGTGTGTGTGATTAGGTACCATTTGAGACACAGTGTTGAGTCACTTGTTCTTTTAAGCAGACCCCTGAGGTAAGCAAAGGACTAAGCCATTTAGGTATCTCAGGAAAAGGAGTTTCAAAACAGAGCAAATATATCACTTGAATAAGTGCTTAAGGATTAGTTAAATGTTTTTTGTAAGTGTAAAGACAATAAAAAGATCTTGCAGAAACTTTTGTTTTTAACTTAGTACGCTGTTAATCTAAAGCAATACAAAATTTTTTTCTACCTATGTTTATCCACATTTATTCATATATGCACATACATAAGTTATTGTGTGCCTAAAATTCTTTTTGATACTTAAGCATTTCTCCATGTTGTTTCATTATAATTTCATAATAGTTTTATAATAATTTTAATAATGTTAATTATTTCATTAGGGATTTATGTAAATAAACAAAAAATCAAATCTTATATGACTAAAGATTTTCACTGAAGCATTATTATAGTTCCAAATATTGGAAGCAACTTAATGTGTTAACAATAGTATCATATTTAGATTACTTCTGGTGTTTAGTAGTGCTACAATGAATATCATTAAACATAATGTTTCCTTCTTTTGAATTGTTTAATTCCCAAGACTTAGATGTCTACATCTTTTTTTAAAAAAGCCTTGATATACATTATCAAGTGACTCTCCCAAAGGATAGTAACAGTTAATATTATTACCAGGAATATATGACTATGTGGATCATTCCATGTATTTTCTAGCATTGAATATATTTATTTAACACTGTTTTTACTGCTTAGCTAAAATTAGAAATTCAACTACTAATTAGCAAAAATTAGAACTCCATCATTTTCTTTTGAGTTTCCTGACTTATATGTTCAACATATTATTATTAAAAGTATTTATTTTGGGGCTATTTTTTGATTTGTGAGGTACACTTGTTTTAAAAGGTTTTGAAAAACAATCACCATGAGTTTCTCATCCTCAATGTAGCTCCACTATCTGGACATGGGACCAGTAAGACTCAAGCCAAGAATTTTCTAATAAGTGTTTAACAGTGAAAATTTCATGTATTAAAGAGAAAGTCCTTATACCTTAACAAAATGCTTTTAAAGTGTTTTTATTACAGTACATTCTAAACACAAAAGTGCTTTCTTACTAGCTTCAATAAGTATAAGTGTTTTGCCAAGCAGATTCTTCTATTAACCTTCACCCATCCATCCACATATTTTCTTGCTGGAATATTAAGAAGCAAGTTTAGAAGTCATGTAATCTCATCATTAAATGCTTCAGCATGCATCACTTTTAGCCGAGAAGGTCTTTTTAAAAACTACCTTTATGCTTAACAAAATTAACAATTCCTTATCATTTGCAACTCCTATTCGAATTTCTAAGAAAATGTCACAGACTCGCTTTGCTTGAATCAGGATCTCAGCAAGGTCTATGCATTGCATTTGGCTGTTTTGTCTCTCAAATTTTAAAAATTCTATTATCAGTCCTCTCTTTGCTGCTTTTTTATACCGTTGATTTGTTATGAAGCCAGAACGTATATCCCATAAAATGTCCCATATTCTTGATTTGACTGGCTGCTTCCTCATGACACTATTTAACTTTCTTGCTCTACTCCTGCCCCATCTCCCATATTTTCCTTAAACTATTCATTTAGACCTAGAGATTACTAGGTTTAGGTTCACTTTTGGGGGATTTGGATGGCAAGAATAGGTTTTAGGTGATGGGTGCAGTGTACTTTTTGTGGCATCACATCAAGAGGTATATAATGACTGGTTGACCACTTTTATTGCTACTAAGATTGACCACTAGATTTAAGCAGTGTCATCCTGATCCCTCTATTTTAAAGTTTCTCATTGGTGACTATTGCCTAAATCCAATGGACTAGGTGGTAAAATGCTGAATTTTCTGTTATTCCGTCTATATTTATTATCTGGGTTCTACAATAACTTTCTATCATCAATTATTGGGTTATCTTGAAATATATCTCATACACGGGCTTTCTCCTGTATATCTCCTGTGTGAGCTTTCCTTATACAGGAAAGGTGAGATAAGTGTTTGACACTGTCTGTTAATAAGAGTAATTGTAAGAGTAATTATAAGGGTAATGAATGGGTTCGTTAACAACACCCAATGGAGACTAATAAGTTTTTATTTAAAAAAATCATTGTGAACTTATGGAGTTATATATATGCTTGATATAATTTGATCTATCGCAGTAGTATTTTTTTAATACTCGAATTATTTTATCTGAGGTTAGAGGTAGCCCCTTCAATTCGATTACTGTGTCTTTCTGACATGATCCCAGTAATCTTTCTACTTCCTTGGCACAGCAAGATATATCAGGCCTGTCTTCTCAACACTGCCACATACTTGGAATCATCCATTTCTCCAAAAAGATTGCTTCAGTGAGAGTATTTAAAAATTAAGAGTGTTCATTATTTCTAGGATGTCATTGCTTCTAGGTTTTTCAGTGGACGGAACTTCAGATCTACTTTTTAAGGTTTTTAAATTTATAGAGACAGGGTCTCATGCTGTTGCCCAGGCTGGAGTGCAGAGGTGCTGTCATAGCTTGCTACACAGCCTTGAACTCCTGGACTCAAGCAATTCTTCCAAGTCAGCCATCCAAGTGGCTGGGACTACAGATGTATACCACCAGGCCTGGCTAATTAAAAAAATTTTTTTGTAGAGAATGGGTCTCACTATGTTGCCCAGGGCTGGTCTCAAATTCCAGGCCTCAACCAATCCTCCCGCCTTAATCTCCCAAAGTGCTGGGATTACAGGCAGGAGACACTGCACCTAGACGGAATCTGTTTTTTGTTTTGTTTTTGTTTTTTTCAAAGAAAAATAGGTCATGAGTCCATACTGATCTATTTGATATAGCATAAGAATACAGTTTTTTGTTTGGCTTGTTTGATTACTTGCATCTTTTTAAATGCTGGAAATCTTGCTTTCCAAAAGCATTAATATAATTATTTGTTTTATTATACAATCTACCTATAATAATTTCAAGAAAAATACCTAAGTATTGTAAATGACTGAATTATTTTTAGTATGTGTATATATACATATATATAGTATTATATTGTATTATTTTATTTTATATCTTTAAGGTACATAACATGATATTTTGATATAAACAATGAAGTATTTACTGCAGTTAGGCAAATTAACATATCCATCTTCTATCATAGTAATCCTTTTCATGCGTATGTGGTAAGAGCATCAGAATCTACTCTCAGCAAATTTCCAGTATATATGAAAACAGTTTAAGATTTCTTTGTAGTTCTTTCTGTCTTTAGAATAGGACTGTATACTCTAAACGCTATTAAAGTAACTTGAATGAATTATTTCTTTTATTGCTCATGTCATGAGTTTGATATACAGTTAATTTGCTTCAACTTGATTCAATTTTGGGGGATTCATATTTTCCTATTTTAATGTTTTCACTTTTTAATTTTATAAAACAATAATTGAAACCATACATATACTTAGGAGCTCTTCATATTAGCTATATTTTTCTGGAATATAATCAGCAAATATTTTCTTCAGATTGTCTTTTGTCTTTGCTTATGGTGCTTTTTTGACGTGTGTAAGTCATTCAGATATATTCTTATGTAGCTAAATTTATTAATATTTAACTTGCTTTTGGAATTTGAGCCTTATTTATTAGTTTTCCTATTTCCAGATTAAAGAGGAATACATCATTAATGATGAGATATGAAATGACATGCACACATTAAGAAAAACCCCTAAGTGTCATTAGCCTTTAGGGAAATACAAATCAAAACTACCGTCAGATAACATTGTACAAATAGATAAATCCATTTGACTGATTAAAAAGGAAATATCTGGAGATACCAAGTGATGTAAAGACTGGGGAGGAACTGAGATTTTCATCACTGCTGGTAAACAATAAAAATAATATACCCACACACACAAAATAAAGAGGAATGCATCTACTTTTAATTCATATACATGGTATGAGTCATTGTGTTTAGATCTTGCATCCATTTGGAAATTATTATTTTGTAGTATTTTCTTTTAAAATATTTGACACTTTTTTTCCCAGATGCTGTTTTAGATATTGGAGGTGTAATGGTGACAAGATCAACAATATGTAGTTTCTCTTAGAGCTAATGTTCCAGGAAGGGGAGACAGACCACAAAGATAATTTCAGATAATGGCAAATGCTATAAAGACAGTGAAAAAAATGATGTGACAAGGAGGGACTGAAGAGATGTCTCTCTGTTAAGATGGTATTTCAGTGATTCCTGCATCACATGAAGAGGCCAACTATATCAAGCTCTGGAACAGAACTGTCCAAGCCAAGGGAATACTTAGTACAAAGGGACTGAGGAGGAATAGCCCTAACACTTATTAAATGCTTACTATGAACCAGACACAATGCCAAAACATTTCACCTGCTTTATTTCATTTGTTTCTTACAGTTACCCTTTGAATCACGTATCAATCATCATCCTATTTTGAATATAAGAACACTGAGGTTGAAAGGGGTTAGATCAAGGGCCTTCTCTCAGTCTCCAGTGTAGCTTTCAGGGATCAACCTGCGACAGTGAATTCCTGATTTTTATCTCTCCAGGCTTTCATGAGAAGGACAAGAAGCCATATTGCCGAAAGGATTTCTTAGCCCTGTTTTCACCCAAGTGTGGTGGCTGCAATCGCCCAGTGTTGGAAAACTACCTTTCAGCCATGGACACCGTCTGGCACCCAGAGTGCTTTGTTTGTGGGGTCTGTATAATTACTTTTCTTTTGAACTTAGGGAAAATCAAGGGTTCTTCTCTCTGAGAGGAAGAGTTGCAATTAGTAAAAGGGTTCACAGTCCTGAATGAGGAATGGATGTGGGCATCCTAAAGAAGAAATGAGATACAAATCCATTGTGGGCATTTACTTGTCTGTTTTGCAAGCAGGCAATCTAGCTTCCATTTGTCAAGAAGCTGAGTGAAATTCCTGTAGCTGGCAGGTAATTAGCAGGAATTTCAAGGCTGAAGATTTTACTTTTCTGACATTTTACCTCTTGACATCTGCATTCTTTTTCTCTCTCTCCTCTCTACACCTAGGACTGCTTCAGCAGTTTTTCTACTGGCTCTTTCTTTGAACTGGATGGACGTCCATTCTGTGAGCTCCATTACCATCACCGCCGGGGAACTCTCTGCCATGGATGTGGGCAGCCCATCACTGGCCGTTGCATCAGTGCCATGGGGCACAAGTTCCATCCTGAGCACTTTGTGTGTGCTTTCTGCCTGACACAGTTGTCGAAGGGCATTTTCAGGGAGCAGAATGACAAGACCTATTGTCAACCCTGCTTCAATAAGCTCTTCCCACTGTAATGCCAACTGATTGACAGCCTCTTCAGATTCCTTATAAAATTTAAACCAAGAGAGGGGAAGAAAGGGTAAATTTGCTGTTACTGACCTTATGCTTAATAGTCTTATAGAAAAAGAAAAGGTGATGAGTAAATAAGAGAACTTCTAGACTTTACATGACTAGGCTGCTAATCTTATTGTTTAGGCTATAAATTCTCTTTCTCTCTTTCTTTCTTTCTCTAATCAGGTACTTGGAGTTAGATCTAGGTCCTTCCATGTAGCCCCTCTACAGAGGTATTTTCCACTTGCATAATTCATTCCAACACTGGTTTTCTTAGGTTTTTCCATTTTCACCTCTACTGATGCCCCTACCTAGCTCTTTTCTAATTTAGTCCTCATACTTGTTACTTTTCAAGTTTTCCCATTTCCCTGTGGCTCACTGTCTTACAGTCGCTGCTGTGGAAGCATGATACCAATCCTAGCTGTTTGCATCTTCCTTCAGTGTATTTTTGTTTTTCAAGAGGAAGTAGATTTTAACTGGACAACTTTGAGTACTGACATCATTGATAAATAAAATGGCTTGTGGTTTTAATAACTCATTGTCATATTTGTTTGGGAGATAAACTTTCTGTTTCCTATGTTATATAATAGGCAGTACGTGCAATTAAAATTATATCATACATCTTGTTTCCTTCCATCCGATGGGCACTTTAAAAATTTTAATCAGAAAAAAATGAAAAGGAGGGACTCCTATTCATTAACTTTTTTCTTTAGTTTTGTCCCTTAACCATTTTATTTTCTGGACTTAGATAATTGAATCATTTTTTAAAATGGCAAAGCTTCTTAAGATTTTTTTTCATTATGCTGTTTACAGAAGGAGAAACTCTGGCTCTCCATTAGATATCTTACAAATTTATTTCTAAAGTAAAAATGAAACACAGTTTCACATTTGCTTCGTGAAGACAAATGAGATGGCTGTTCTTAGAGCACCTCTGAAGAAAGATGCTATATAGCTCAAATGATCATTATTTACAATTAGGAAAGCCAAGCCTCAAAGAAAAATTCCTCTTAAGCATTTGTTCATCTCAAAATATTATAAATAAATGTGTAGAAAAGCTTGCCAGTTATCAGAGAATCTGAATTTCTTATGTTCTCTGAGTTTACTTCTTGCAGTTTACTTTATATAAAAGTAAGCTTCACAAGGACTCACCCTTCTGCAAAAGAGATACTGAGAAGATCAGTACTATATCTTTCTCACCATGGTCTTAAAAATAATTGTGTGATTATTTGTTATAACGAAAACTGGACTCAGAATCCTTGATTCTGAAATAAGTTATGGTGAAAACTTCTTCACAGGAGGTATTTTTAAAAATAGGACACAATTTGATGTTTTTAGATTGACAGAGGACTAGTACTACTTGAGAGAGCTGAAATGGATTGAATGTTTCTTGCCAAACTTGATTATTTCTATGTCCTTTGCTGGAATGGATAATAAAGGGGTTTTGAGAGTTAAAAAAAATTGGCAACAGTTAATTCTATAAAATAGGAACTCCAAATGCATGTAAGATATGTGGGAGGCCACACAGATATGGAACCATCTGGCCTCTACCCTGTTTGGCTGTCTGAAAGCGCCAGACTATACAGAACACACATTCAACTTTTAAACATCCTCTTTACAAAGTCTTCATTCAACGATGTCACATGCAGGTGTTAATATGGCGATGTTCTTGGTTGTCTTGGCAATTTGACGAAGTAAATTTGGAGTTTTAGCCCTTAAAAAGAAATGTTCAGGTGCTGAAATTTTTTATAAAGATTAGCTTTTAATAGAATTTAACTATTTTTAAATGTCAAAGAAACTTCAGAGTTCATTAAGATGCAATTAAGAAGTGAAAACATTTTTTTTCCTACATTGAATGGAAGTGGTTTTATTTGCTCAAAAAGAGATACCGACTTCAGGATCAAAGTTTTAGCAATAAGTAAACTACTCACAAGTAAAAAGTTCTGCTTTTTAAAAACCATGGAAATACCATTACTAAAATTGATCACTTACCTATTTTGGTTTTGAGTAACTTCTAGGGTATTTAAAAAATAAAACCCACCTTCACAGAACAGGGCTTTGCCACCAGTCAATATAGATGTATAAAAAGGAATATGCTCTACAGTTGGCACTCTGTTCTCAAAATTGAGTCCCTCAATTAGTTTCGTCAGGTTTTCTTTGAAGTAAATCTAGTCTCTTCTAAGGTGATACTTTGATAAAGACAGCAATTATTTTTCCATCCAAGTTCTATCATGCGCTCCTCTTGGAGTTGCCGGGTGGTTGCCAGCCACGTGCTTCTGTTTTCATAACCAGTAGGGGGAGCAAGAGTGCTTTTATCAAGCATTTCCAAGCAAAAGTTCTGGGATTCATCCTCATTGGTCTAGCCTAGGTCATAAATTAGTAACTTTTGCTGGGGGACTGAATTCTGCAACTTGGCTTGATCCATATTGAATTATTTCCAAACTTAGAAGCAGGACTAAGTTTCCCGAAAGCACAAGGACTTTGTGGAAGAGATGCAAATACTTTAAAAGCTGCATATTGATAAGAAGGGGGAAGGGAGCAATGAATCTTGAATTCGTATGTTCAAAAGTGAAAATATTGGCGTTTCCGAGTTTCAAGGTAATGGAGAAGGTAAGCAGGTTGGCATTGTCAAGATCCTGAGGGATCATGTCCAAGAACTTTACAGAACCCAAAAGCAGAGGTGGGCCAGGAATGCTGGTGTCCTGAGGATCATGCGGCAGAGACACCGCTCTTCCAGGACCCCTAGGGTTGCACCACTGAGAAGCATCAAAAGCAGCTTCAGTTTGGAAATCTGAAAAAGGAGATCTTCCAGCTGGAATAAAGGTAAGAAAGAGTAGCAACTTCCTTTAGAGGCGAGTGTCTTAGGCATAAGCAGGTCCTCAATAAGGCAATGGCAGCAGCCACTGAAATATGAACTGAAAAAGAAAGTGCCTGTCCCCCAAATACTGTGGAGGTTGTGTTACTATATAAAACTTTCCATCCGTGCAGCACATAAGTGCTGGGAACACAGAGCTCAATGGGGAAATGGAAACCCACTGGGATCCGCCGGATAAAAAAGAAAGAAATCTCAGGTAAAAGCTGGTGCTTGGGTTGTACTTGTTGCAAATTTATAACTTTGCCAGAAGGCAGTGGTGTCTCAAATTTATTCTGTAGGAAAGGAGACAGTTTATGTAGGATGTTCCCCTACCCCAGATATAGTCAATGTATAGTGCCTAAATTAATTTTCCATGGGGAGATGTCTCCTAATTGTGTTTAGGTTCATAGACCATGGATTCTGGACAATTGCATAGACTTCCTGGCATCCTGTTGAGAGCCATCCTTCTTCCCTTCCTATTTTGGATATCATTAAATCACAATAAATACTGTATTATGGGAATAACATTTTTCCTGGGATAATTATCCCAGGAAAGTTACTCATTTCTAGTGAGAGATATCTCAGATCACAGGTAACATTGGAAAAACTCCTATAGCTGAAAATGAACAGACCAAGAAATCAAAGGAAGTTTACTTTCTCTAAGCTTTAACTTAGACAATTTGATTTTACATATTAATGTTTTTGGACTTTGATATGCTGTGTTGAATATTATTAGTGTATATAATTGGGGATGGGACGTGAAATGAAAAGGCAGTAAATTTCTCAGCTTTCTTTCCCCTGTAGTCCAGTTCCTCCACAAAGAACTGCATCTCCCGTTCTTGGTCCATGTTTTTAGGCGAGACTGACTTTAACGTCAGCCTCTGAAATGGGCACAGCCCCAGGTCTGACCAATGAAAGTACTTCCTTGTTTTGAAGAAAGGTGATTGGATCAGGGGTAGACATGTGACCCCAGCAAAGCCAATTGTATTGCTCCCCAGGACCTTTGCTAGATATATTTAGAAAGAATATTCCCATTCGTTGGGATTCTAGTTGTGAGGATAATAAAAACCCATTGCTGCTGAGAAATATTTTTGTCATCACTTAGGAGGAGGCTGTTTGAGAAAGAGGCCAGCACAGAGGAACGTACAACCGAGTAACAGAGAGGCTGTGTTTTCTTTTTTGAGCCACTCAGTTACCATATCAGCATCTAACCATAGACTAGGAAATTATGTGAGCAAATACATTATCTTTTTTGTTTACATTGAACAAATAAACTCCATGTTGGTACAGAATGTATATTGTATATCGTCATGAAAAACTAATCCACAAAAATAGTGTTTGATCCCTTCTTGATGCTTTTTACACTAGTGCATAGTGAAACTCTGTAGTTTAAGGTTAAGTCATCCTGTGGCTAGCTCGTATACAGTATAAACTTCTTGCTCCTGTCCAATTTTGCAGTATCTGTCACTATGACAAAGGGAAAGAAAAAGGTTAGGAAGGTGTTATAATCCTCTAAGATTTAAAACTCTTTTGGAAATCATGGTATTCATGTTGCTTTGTTTAATTATCATCCAGAGAGAACTATTACATATTTGATATTACTGCAATACTCTTTATAGTGGAAAACAGTTTTAAAACATCCAGATATCTCATTTGCAAACAAAAAAGAAAGAAAAATTTGGCAATTATAAGAAAAATAAATTTAGATTTACCCTGTGTCTTAGTCTGTTCAGCTCCGATAACAGAATACCATAAATTGGGTGTCTTGAACCATAGAAATTTACTATCTCATAGATCTGGATATAAGAAGTCTCAGATCAAAGTTTGCAGGGTTGGTTTCTGGCGAGGGCTTTTTTTTTGGCTTGCAGACAGCTGCTTTCTTGCTTTGTCCTCACAGGGTGAAAAGAGAGGAGAAAGAGAGAGGGGGAGACAGAGACCACAAGAGATATGGTGTCTCTTCTTGTAAGGACACCAATCTTATCAGATCAGGGTCTAATCATTATGATTTCATTTAATTTTAATTACTTCCTTACTTTAAATACAGCCACATTGGGGGTTAGGCCTTCAACATATTTTGGAAGGACACATTCAGTATGTAACATCTTGAAAAGTGCTACTTAAAAAAATTGGGTTTATATAAAGTTGAGGAAGAAAAATAAGACATTTATAGTGATTTTGAAAGGGGACCTTAAGGACATTTTTCAATGCTTTGGAGGTTGGAAGTGGTTATTTTCATTATGTGCAATGACACTTAGAAAATATGACTTTCTGTCTCTAGGTGCTCTTGCATTTTCAGACACAAGTTAGAAAATATTGGCAGCTCAAAAATAAAATGAAGAACTGAGAGGGAGATTTTCCCAAGATAATCTGAAAATTTTGAAAGGGAGGAAAAAGTAGGATGAAAGAAACTTACAGGCCATATGAGAGAATTTGTGGATTGGGCTAGGTGAAATTATCAGAGCTTTCAGTAAAGGAGGCAACATGGGCCTTATAACACACTCTCTGTGAGGAAAAGAAAGACAAAGTAGGCAGACTTGTCACTCAGTTCCCTTACACAAACTACCTGGTGAAGCTGCTACTTATCCTGGATTGTCTTATAGTTTTGAGTTTTTCTAGAAGTGGATGCCGAGGCTAGGATTTGTGTGCAGTACTCTCTTTAGGAGGCAGTTTCTAGATGTACAAG